TTGTTTCTCAATAGGGTAATTAGTTATGCATGGTATCCAAAATTTGAAAGATCTACAATCAACCACCCCTTCTTTTTCCACAAATTATTTCAACGTTGTTTTAGAATTTACATATCCATCAAAAAATGCATGCATACTTTCACTACGTTGGGTAGTAGAGATACTTGCCTAGAAAGTATCTTTAACAAATGCAGGCACCCAACGTACTCTTTCTTTGTACAATCCACATAACCATTAATTCTCGTAAAGGTTGTGAACATCATTGAATTTGTTCCACCATTCTTCGAACTCTTCACGTGTAAAGAAATCATATACAATATTTTGTAACTTAACCTTTATAGTTTCATATTCCTTATACCCTCTTAACTTTTTAGGCTATTTCTTCATTATATACTACAAACACCACCTATGTCTTATAACAAGGAAAACAATCTCAATTGCATTTTGCATAGCCTTATCTTACTCAGTGATAATTTCATTAGGAGCAAAATCCATGCATTCAAGCCAAGAACGAAATAGTCATACAAATGTCTTAGTGTCCTCATGGGAAATTAACCCACAACCTAACAATGTAGAATGTCCATGATGATCAATCCTCACAAAAGCAGAAAATGGCATATCATACTTATTCGTCAGATACGTTGTGTTGAAGGTCACAAAGTCACCAAATTCTTTATATGCGGCCCTGCATCTAGTATCAACCCATAGCACATTCTATAATCAACTCTCTTCATCTACATAAATCATGTACCAAAAATTTGAATTCTCCTTTTGCATTTGCATAAAACACCCGAGTACTGCCAAAGCATCTCCAACTCTAAGTCATAGCCTTCTAACTTTTTCAGTGTAGTTCCTACAATCTTTTTGTAGAAAAGTCAAATAACATGACTGAAAATTTTTATATGGTCTAATCTCAGCCAGATCATTAACTTCAAGTCTCCTTTTCACATAAGGTTATATCGTTTGATTCACCTTGAAATATCTTCTTTTTGTCGGACTTATAAGATCATGGTTGTGTTCAAGCACAACTAATTTAATTTCCCATTTGCATTCACCATTCAAAGTTGCACTACTCCGACTCTTACAATTTGTTTTAGCCACATGTTGTTTTTTCAAGGTATTTCTGAATTTACATCTCTCCTTCCCAAAACAAGAACACGCCAACTGCCACGTATCTCATCTTCCCCATCATCTCCTTTCTTTGACGTACGTATCATTGCTTCAAAACCCATTTTATTACTATACATTTTGTAATACTTCACTAGACTATCAACTGAATCAAACATCATTCCAATACGAGGCTCCACTTCTTCCTCTGCACATCCCATGCCTTCTAATTCATCACATTCATTTTTCTGATTTAATGGTTTTCTAATGGACAAAATTAGAATGTACTAATATAACACATCATAAAAAACAATACGGTACAACAAATTTAAATTCATGTTGACAAAAAAGTTAAAGTTTCAAACACAAATTACCTTAACATCATTGAAATGAGGCAAACTAGACTGTTCCATATTCCATAATTTCATGCAAAACCAATACCAGTTTTCGCGTTCATGAATCTGGTTCACAACAGTCGCCAACAAATATTGTCTATCGGTTATTTTGTATTGTAACATATATTCAATCCAAAATAGAATACGAAACTAAATAAATGCATAAATTAAGTCGAAAATTCTTAAGTACCTCAACAAATATTTCTAACCTCAAAAAGTTTGATCTCCCTTTCCACCGTAAACGATTCTCTCTGTAAAAAATTGGTGGCTTTCCTTTGAAAATATTAGTGACTTTCTTGTCATGGTAGCTAGTTGTTATGGTTGTTGAGGAAGAAACCGCCAATACTGCGTGAAGACTAACAAGCTCTGCCAAGAACATGCAGAAGAAAAGATGAGACAATGAAGTTGAAATGTATTAGCTTTACAGTGAAGCTACAAATAAAGTCTTATTTTTATTTTTTTTTTTCATCTAAAAATTTTGGCGCTTATTTGCAGAAGCGTATTAGACAAGTTATATCTTTTTTATTTGCATGACATAATTTTTTTTGTAAATTTAAAAAAAATAAATATATATTTGCCCCGCTGTTCAATGGATAGTCGTTCATTAGATACAAACGGCCGTCCATTGAAAATGGTCGCTCATCCATATAATATGAACAGACGTCCATTCTTGTTCTTTTAAAAAATCATTCCTCCTCATTTTAAAAATACTGCAAGTCATTATGTACAGGCATCCATTCGAGGTGGACGCCTATCCATAGGAAATGGACTCTCATCCATATAATCTGGACGGGAGTCCATTGTTAGTTTCGTTCAAAATTTCGTTCAAATTGGTGGACGACTGTCCATTTGTAATGTGCAAATGTCCATCAAATATGGATGAGCGTCCATAATTGTTGGACGGTCGATCATTCACGCAAGACATATTATAGTGTCCAACGTAGCTACGTTAGACTCGGATGCCACGTAAGTTGGTACAATAATTCGGTGAGATTAATCAGTGTCTGTAGAATTATTGTTTCAAGATAATGAAAACAATATTGATCGAGCTCTAAATTGTTAGGCCCGACTCAAATATGTGTATTTGGGCCAAACATGAATGAGCTACATTCAAAACTTAGTTGTACTCTTACGAAATGAATATTACATTCATAATTTTAAGAAAAAGATTGGTTCTGAAGCCAAACCATCCATTGTTGATGAATTGCTTTTGCTTGAGCTAGCCATTGAATAAGTTGTAGACAACTCCTTAAGGCCTTTTGCTTAAAACGTCAAAATGAAGAAATTCAACGAATATCTTAAATAGTAAAAACCAAGAAAAAAATTTATCTCTCTCGTAAATATATTTTCATTTTGACAAATTTCCAAATTCCAAATTTAAAGACTTTCTTAGCAACCAAACAATTACTAAATGGTATTATGGTCTGTTCCCAACTACAAAAGACGGCTATTAGTTGATCGATTGACAGCACTCGGTCGCTCACTGATACTATGGAATGGCCAAGGCCAACCTCAACACACTTCTGCAGAAATGCGCCACTCCTCATCACATCAAACAACTCCAGGCTCATCTCATAACCGCAGCTCATTTTCAATTCCAATTCTGCCCTGTACGCTCCAAGCTCATTGAGTTCTACGCCCTCCCTCCTCTCAACGACCTCTCTCACGCCCACACTATCTTTCGCCAAATCAACACGCCTTCGACCAACGACTTCAACGCTATTCTTCGCGGCCTTGCTCGCTGTGCCGAACCCACCAGGGCCATCTCTTGGTTTCGCTCAGTGTTGATTAATTCTGTCAGAATAGACGCCCTCACTTGCTCCTTTGCACTGCAAGCATGCGCGCGTGTTTTGGCTTGTGTCGAGACAATGCAGATGCATTCGCAAGTTTTGCGTGGTGGGTTTTTCGCTGATGCGTTATTGGGTACTACTTTGTTGGACGTTTACGCGAAAATTGGCGATCTTTGTAGTGCTAAGAAGGTGTTTGATGAAATGCTTGTGAGAGATATTGCGTCGTGGAACGCGTTAATTGCTGGGTTGGCGCAAGGGAATTTGGGAAGTGAAGCGTTAGAGTTGTTTAGGAGGATGAGGGAGGAGAGTTTGCTTAGGCCTAATGAGATTACCGTGCTTGGAGCTCTTGCGGCGTGTTCGCAATTGGGTGCTTTGAGAAAAGGAGAAAAGATATATGAGTATATAAGAGATGAGGGGCTTGATACGAATGTGCAAGTTTGTAATGCTGTGATTGATATGTATGCAAAATGTGGGTTCGTGGATAAGTCGTTTTTAGTGTTTGGAAATGTGAAGTGTAGGAAGAACCTTGTTACATGGAATACTATGATAATGGCATTTGCAAATCATGGGGATGGGGTCAAAGCCCTTGAGCTTTTTGAGCAAATGGGTTCGGTTGGTGTGAAGCCGGATGATGTCACCTACTTGGGTGTGTTGTGCGCGTGCAATCATGCAGGGTTGGTGGATGATGGTGTGAGGTTGTTTAATTCAATGATGGAGTCTGGTTTAAACCCTAATATGAAGCATTATGGGAGTGTGGTTGATTTGCTAGGTCGAGCAGGGAGATTACAAGAGGCTTATGATATGGTTAAGTCTATGCCAATGGTGGCTGATGTGGTACTTTGGCAGACGTTGCTCAGCGCTTGCCAAATATATGGGGATGTCAAGATGGCGGAGATAGCATCAAGTAAGCTAGCCGAGATGGGGTCTAGTAATTGTGGCGATTTCGTGTTATTATCTAACGTTTATGCTTCACATGAGAGATGGGATGATGTGGGAAGGGTGAGGAGAGCCATGAGGACTAGGGATGTGAAGAAGGTGCCTGGATTTAGCTACATTGAAGTGAATGGTGTGATAAACAAGTTTTTCACCGGCGATAAGAGCCACGGAAGTTGGAGGGAGATATATAAGAAGTTGGATGAGATTAGGTTCAAGATTAAAGAGTATGGATATGTGGCTGGAACTAGTTATGTGTTGCATGATTTAGGGGAAGAGGAGAAAGAGAATGCATTGTGTTATCATAGTGAGAAGTTGGCTGTGGCATTTGGTTTGATCAGCACGAGTGAAGGCACTTCAATTCAGGTGTTTAAGAACCTTAGGATTTGCGGGGATTGTCATGAAGTGATAAAGCTCATCTCCAAGATTTATAATTGCGAAATTATCGTGAGAGATCGAGTTCGGTTTCATAAATTTAAAGAAGGTTCTTGTTCTTGCAAAGATTATTGGTGATTTATTTCATGCATATATCATAAACATGATGCTTATAAAAGCAAAACTTTGGCATTTATTCAAGCATTTCGCAAGAGAGAAGATAAAATCATAAAACTCCATCATGTTTCCTCCATGCTAACCCTTATGTCTCGAAATGCCAGTTTCAGGGAAGTTTGATCTATCATTACGGCTATTAAGACCAATTTTTCTCAGCCGTAGCGAGATAATTTCTCTTTGAGATGGAAGAAATTAGTTAAAGAATATATTCATGGCTGAGTAGTGAGTATTGGACACAACAGCATTAAATTAAATATCCCGGCTCTCCGACTCTGCAAACAACTTCCAGTCCGCTGAGCACATAAGTCTTTAAGTTACTCAGTATATCAATCACAACAAACCTGAAGACTAAATGTTACATGACATAAAGAGATATTTTACACAGCAAACAGACCAAAACAGCACAATTACAGTTAATATGGTTGGTTGGCGAAATTATCACAACTGCATGGAGATGGGAGAACTATGTCAAGCAACTGGATAAATCAATGACCTCCCTCCTGCTAGGACGCTAGATTTTGAAGCCTCAAACAAACAATTCTAAATCAACTTCCGAAGAATGGCACGACCTCGACTGATAAAAAACTCCCGTATGAAGTGAGCCTGAAATAGTAGAGTCAAATTGTCACATTGCAGCTAATCTTTCTTTAGCCTCGCCTCAAAACCACCTTCAGGTCGCTTTATAAGATTGTAAGGCATGTGAGTTCCAAGAAGTTTATCCCACATGGAGAAGAACGGCTGAGAATAGTTGTACTTTGTGCCATGGAGTTGATGATGGATGTCGTGATATGCAGTGTTGTTCTGAAAGAATAGATGGAAGATGTTGCCAGGCAACCATAGTCCACAATGATCATCAACAGTTTTGATTACGGCAAAGCAGAAAAAAATCACAGCCGTGCGTGCTGTCATTCCTGAGACAAGGAAAGAGATGGCTCCACCAAAAGTGTCAAGCAGGAGACCCTCAAGTGGGTGATTGTAAAGGGCACCAATTGCATAAGGGACTACCAGCCTATGATGCTGTGAGTGGACATGGCGGTACAAATATTTGTTCTGATGCATATACCGGTGCACAAAGTACTGCCATGTATCCATGACGAACATGGCAATGACAATCTGCACAAGTTGGACAGGAATGGATGGCTGAGATGTGATCCCAGATGCATCTGCGTTCGAGGTCAACTGTTGAAAAGCCGCCAGATAAGTTCATTAAAAAAGTACAAATAGAGGACAAGCCAGCCACAAAAAAGATCATTTGTCATTAAAAATTGTCAAACAATGTATGGGATTTCCAACTTTCATATTCCTGTTATGAGCCACATCGCACCATAAAAATAATCCTTATAATCTATTACTTACCAATTTTCAGATTACTTGACAAATATGACAATATCACAACTTAATGACACAAGTTTTCAGCAAGCACAAGGAATGCAGCTTAAACAGCTAGATTAATGAAGGCTTTATTTAGCTCCATTCTAATTTCCATAAAGTTGAGAAAATGCCAAAGAATTTAAAGATGAAAAACCTGAGCATGACAATATTATCAAAGATCATGTAAGTATGATTATTTTAAGCAAACAATTAAAAAGAAGCAGGAGCAATAGAAAACATCATACAGGGACATAATATAGATGTTATTGCCTTGCAGCATTTCAAGTAAAATTCATTTTCACTTCATGGTTCTGCTAACTCAACAGGTTTTACTATTAGCCACGAATTGTGCCCCCCTCACCACCAAATTCACAGTCAACACCAATGCCTCCACCTCCATATCCTCCTACACTACCACCTATTCCGACTTGGAAACACTTTTGAATCAAACTGCCCAAGTTATCTGCAGAATAGCCAATTCAACCTAGAGCAATTTCATGAAGAATAATTACTCCTATATGTACACCTTACAAGTTAAAATCCCCAAAAACTGAAAGATAGAACATGCTTTCAAGGGAGTAAATTGGTTTCAGATACATCTGCAATAGAATAAATTTCATCTTTTGATGCAAAATGATGAGAAATCCTGCAGAACACTATCATTAGGTAACCTTCTTCTTAGTCTTTTAACAGTAGGATTCCCATTAAAGGGTAAAAGAAGGACCAGAATCTAAACACAAATTATTAAGCAAAGGGTGCATAGAGCATAATGGGCCAGAAAATTGTCAATCAAAATATAATTTACAACATTCAGCAACTTGCATCTAAAAGCAAGCCCATGTACATTTCTGCTTAGGTATTTAGGAGTAGTAGTTGGACAAGAAGACAGAGAACAAACTTTATGTTAAAATACCATCACAAGGAACAAATTCAAAAAATCACAAATAAAGTTAAGAAATATAAGAAAAGCGTTGCATAAGATGTACAAAGACACTGTTAAGAACAAGGTTTAAGAATCTAAGATTAAGCGGGATTCAATTAGATTGACAAACATCTAACATCATTCCAGCTCAAATAAATATAAATAATGATTATAATATCAAGATTCCAGGTGTCTGTTTCTTAATTGGCCTATTAGTCTAACAACCTTTTCTGAGTAAACTCTTTTAACATTGATACCCCTGTTATGGCAATGATCGAGAAACCAAGCACAGAAAACCACTCTCACCAAAATCCAATCACATAGCTAACAGCTATTGACCACAGAAAGCATAGTTTCAGCAAATGTTCACTCATGCTGCTAAAAGCTCTTAACCGCATAAAGCAGAGTTCCAGTAACTAGGTTTTCAAACATCCAACAGCCTTTCCTGCTCACTCATGTAACATTAGTTTACCTTCAATCCAGACTCAAAAAAATATAAATAATGATTGTAGATTCGAGATTCCAAGTGTTTTTTTCTTAATTGGCCAATTAGTCCAACAACCTTTTCAAAGTAAACTCTTTTAACATTAATACCCCATTACAGCAGCAGTTGAGAAACCAAGCGCATAAAACCACTCTCACCAAAGTCCAATCATATAGCTAATAGCTCTTGACTGCAGAAATCCCAGTTCCAAATGAGTTGATACGTTTAACCATTTAAAAGAAGAAAACCAATGAAACATTTAAATATAGTGACGAAACCCAAAGGTGACTTCTACAGCAACCAATAATAAACCTTACCACATCGGTATCTCTCTATTTGCAGCTAAAAAAAAGAAAAAAACCCTTAAATAGATTTCAATATGATGGTCAACCATCAAGCAAATAGAACAGGCTTCTGCATATCACTATATACTAATAACTATGATGTAGGTTCAAACTATGATGGTTGACATTAGCACAAAAAGTGAGAGGTTCTAACATGTATCAGATCTGTAAAGTGTCTTTTTAACCAAAGGATTTAAAGTTTAAGAATACTAAGAGTCATATGTAGAGAATATATAACAATAGGAAAGTCAAATAATTTTGTCTGAAAAGTGTCTTTTTAACCAAGGGATTTAAAATTTAAGAATACTAAGAGTCATATTTAGAGAATATATAACAATAGGAGAGTCAAATAATTTTGTCCATTAAAGCTTTAATACTAGCCTGATGCTCAATCATCTCCGACCTTGGATTTTGGGGATGTAGCTTTCATGCGAAATTGAAACCCATTACTCTATGACAGAACTATGATCCTCAACGCAACTTGAGCACATTTTCTTCCAAGTCTCAAGATGCAGGAATGAAAACAATATTTCCCACTTTATACCTTGATTTTCACTTAAAAAAAACTTGGAGATAGTTTCTGTTCCACAATCCACTTTAACAAAACTCCCAGGATACTCCGCTACCCTCAGAAATATCTCTTTTTCCCCCAAGAATAAGAGCAAACCCTCGATCAGCAGCCACCCTCCCGACAAGAGAGTTCACCACTTAAGAGAATCACAAACTGGTCTCCATCTCTATAACTCCACTTATTTTTCCCCCAAGAAGAAGAGTAGACCCTCAATCACCAACCACCCTCCCCTACAAGAGAGTTCATCACTTAAGAGAATCACAAATGGGTCTCTATCTCTACAACTCCGCTTTGAGTAACCTTCCACTGTTGTTTTTCACACAATTCCTACTTGTGTAGCTTCCTTTTTCAGAACAAAACTCTGCTTTAATAAATTAGAAAATCTCTTTTCAAATCCTCCACCATGGATCATAACACCAGAAGAATAACAGGTCTAATAGTCTCAGCTTCCTTGTATAATACTTTCTACAGCCGACACACATTTTACATTTTCTTTTTCCTTTTTCTTTTCCTAAGCTTGCAAACATAAACCAAACCCCCAAACTCACNTAAAACATTTTTATGAATTAAAAGTTACAACAATGAAACCTTTAAAATAATTTAAAGAAAAAAAAACTAAAACCATAAAATTAGAGAATATATAAAAGAATAAAAAGAAGTAAATACTTGATATAATTAAATGGTTGGATTAAGTTGTTATCTAGCAGTTAAAATCATTTTAAATGATAAATAATACCATTTTACATCAATCATAACTTAAAAATTAAATTCAAAGCTTATGGTATATCATTTTTAATATATAATATTCACAATTAAAATAGTAAAAAATAATTTATTAAGACTTGGTAGGGCCAAACCGATCCCGGCTTCTGACTATGTAGGAGCAAGAAGAAGGCCAATCCAAGCAGTTACCAAAGCATCCTCAAGGTTGGGAGCCTAAAGGCTAGACGCTAGAGGGCCAAGTGAATCAAGGTTTCCCAGGTCGCCTTGTCTGTTTAACCGGTTAAGTGGGTTGTTTGTTTGGAAGACGGATAGGTTATTTTACAGGAGTATAAATTTAAACATAATAAAAACTGGAGGGTGCTTTCGTCAATTGAAAGGGCGTGTGGCGTATTGCAATTTGTGGGCTTATAATATAAGTTAAGGAGATAGTAGTAAAATGAGAAATGTTTTGGCGCTCAAGTTGAGCCAAAAATTTTAGGAGAGGAAGGGGTAGAGGCGCCCAAATCCCGAGGTGATTCTGAGTTTTGATTGGGTTAAAGTTAAACTTAACTGGAATCAAACTGTTAACTGTTGAGGCCCAAGTTATTGGGATACAATCTATGAGAAACTTTCACGTCATAGATATTTTTATAGTGGGCTTGCAGTTCTAAGCCCAATATTGAAGTCTATAATTTTAATACTATAAACTAAGTTAATTCATGTCATAATTTATGAATGTGTTTTATAACTACTTATATGAATATATACTTCCAAGTCAAAAATCGTAGCGGTTTAACTTTCCCAGGAGATTGAATATTTAAATATAGATAAAGACGCTACAAAATTTTAGCTTCAACTGGGCATATTCACAACGATTATTTGATTATCAATATATTTTACCTTACTGACACGCGCAGCACAGAGGAGCGTGGCAAGACCACCCAACAAGATCTTCGAAAAGGATTTCTCATCGGGCAAGCAAACATTGGCGTAAAAGTTTAAAACTGTTATTCCCTTTAAGTTTGCAAAAGTCACCATTTATCCACGTGTTTTCAAAAATAACAATTTGTAGCTTTTTTTTTTTATTTAAAACGACATTGTTCTTCCTTTCTACACACAAAAATTAATGAAATTTGTGTTTTAATACAGAATAAAGAATAAAGAGATTAAACTATTCTTTTGTTTTTTATTAAAAATAATAAAAGAAAATAACAATTGAGTGAGAATAAAATAACAATAATCAGTAAGGGTGCGTTTGGTTTATTATTTTGGATAGGATTTTTGGGATAGTATTGGATAATTGAATATGGGAGTATTACGAGGTAAAATTTATAAATTTATAAAAAAACTCCCTAAGTTTGCTAATTTAATAAATACCCCAACATATAAAATGACAAAAATACCCCCACCACCTACAGTGCCAGATTCCGACCACCACCGCCAGAATCTGGTCGAAAAATCGCGTTACGACACAGACCGGTTGGATCTGTGTCGTAACGCGTCGTTATGGCCTTTTCCGGCCAGATCCACCACGGATCTGGCAGAAAAAGGCTAGATCTACGGCCTGCTGTGGCCGTCAACGGCCGAAAAAGGCCAAAATGACGGCCATTTCTTTGGCCGTCGTTCACGGCCAGATCTGGCCGGAAAAGGCTAGATCGCTGAAATTCCGGCCATTTATGGTCGGCAAGTAGGCCGTTGTACAGATTCCGGCTACTACCGACGATGGTTGCCGGAATCTGGCAAGTATGGGTCGCAGGGGTGTTTTTGATAATTTTTAAACTTTTTTTTCAGGGTGTATTTGATGAAATTAATAACCTTATGGGGTCTAAAAGTAATTAAAAAAATAGGGTAATATTTCTGGAATAATGTGCCAAACATTATTTGGAGAATAGGATTGGGAATAGGGATAAAAATAATGAGTCAAACATGGCCTAAAATATTAACTTATAGAATAATAGTGTAAATGTATATTAATATTTTCAATAAACATATATTCAGGGGCAGATCCAACCCCTT